GGGGGGGGAGGACAGATGACAGGGCAAGATCAGCTCAGACCACTTCTGTGGGAGGACATGCACCGAGTCCAGCTGCTGGCCTGTTGGGGCTTGTATGAGGCATGTTGCAGGCGGTGCCCCGGTGTTTGAAACCACCATGGAGCAGAACCGGGCTGTGGCTGGGAGGCAGACAGGAGGAGACGCTCCATCCACTGCAAGTGCTGCCCACCCACCGGTGTCACCCGGCACATTCCTGTCTCCTGGCAGCTTCTCCACTACACTGTGGGATGTGCTGCCTCAGGCTGCACTGTCCTCCTAACTCCAAACTTCCACTCTCCCTCCCTGCTGGGACCTGGGGCCTGGGGACAATGCCACGGACCAGGCCACCTGAGTAGCGTGCGGGTCCCGAGGTCTGAGCGCCCAGGACCAGGGGCCCAAAGCCTGTTCCAGGACTAACTTCCACCCCAGGCTTCGGTCTCACCAGCACGCTAACATACCCACCCCGTACTTGTGAGGACGGTGACAAGCAATTGGGTCCTTGCCCCCCAGGGCCACCAGGGAGGAGGGAGGCAGTGAAGCTCAGGCAGAAATGCACATCCTCACAAGAAAGCCGACGGGCGTGGAGCAGTGCAAGCAAGTCAGTGATGACAGGAGAAAGGCCAGGCAGCGCTGGCGGGTACAGGGACCTGCTGATATCACAGAAATGTGACACCTTGGAGTGGGGGGAGCCAGCCTGTCACCCACTTTTGAGAGATGTGACGGGAAGGGTATGAGTAATCCCCTGAAGGGTGAGGGCATGGCCTGTGCAAAACAGTCGCAGGTCAAGACAGACCGCCCCCCATGGCCAGGTGAGACGCAGGGACCAGGTCAGCGAACACAATGCAACTGCCGAGTGTAGGTGACATGCAAGGCCTCTTGTCAGTGTGGACCAGCCTAGCTCTCGCGGCCCTGTGGGCAGGGAGGCTGCAGCCCTGCGTGGAGGGACAGGACGCCAACACAGAACTCTGGGTGAGTGCGGCAAGGGGGAGGCTTGTAACCAAGGAGGAGCTGGGGAATCAAGAAGCCTCGTTAGCATTCCCGTGTGTGGGAGGGAGGGAGGCGAGAACTGTCACCCGGTTTTAGCTGCCACCCCTGCCTGGTGGGGCTGACGTGGGTCCCTCAGCTCCAGAGGGGGGTGGCTGGGAAGCGAGTGGCACCGGATGCTGGGAGGGCAGTGGCTCCATGGAGTCACCTCCCCCATCCCTCGTGAGATCTGTCTGTCCTGGAGCAGCCGTTACAAAGCTCTGCACGTGGGTCCTCATGACGTTTCTTCCCTCAGCCTGGAGGCCGCACATCCGAGGTCACTGTGTAACGCACGGGCTAGAGGTTGCAGGGGCGGGTATGTGGCCGCATGTTCCCCAGTCCCTGCCCCGACGTCACTTCGCTCCTGTGCCTGTCTGTTCTGCTGTCTCAAATCTCCTCCTCCTCTTCTCAGGACACTGTCACGGACAACCAGGACCACTTCTCCGTCTCAGGACCCCACCACACCTGCAAACATCCTGCTCCCAACAAAGTCTCCCACAGGCCCCAGGGCTGGCGAGGACACATGGGGGCCCTTTTCCACCCCTTATCACCTGGGGCCTAGCACAGGACTGGTACCGAGTAAGATGTCTGGGGACCAACCGACTAAGGACAAAGACCAAGGTCCCGCGCCTACAGTGGTGACCCACGCTGGGCAGTCTTTGCCCATCAAAGCACTGTGTCCCCTGAGCCTCAGGTCACTGCAGATACTGAAACCAAAGGTCACAGTAAGTAGGTAACTAAACTGAGAACACACAGAACCTTTAGCACCCCCCCCCAGCAGCATCTCCACAACCCGCTAGGTCCGAGGGCGTGGCCTCCCTGGGGGCAGAGCACCGCACTCACCAGAACGCACTTCCCAGGCTCCAGGCTCCACAGAGAGCTCTCGGTGTTGACCCTGTGGGTGAACGTCCCCTCCATGAGGACCCGCTCCCCACTCTCCTCCAGCACGGCCACGCGGATGGAGCTGCTGCTGAGGGCCACTGAGACCTGCAGGGAGCAGAGCAGAGTAGTTTCCTGTGTGAAAGTAGGGTCAGCACGCAGGATGGGAGGGGACGACAGAACAGGCCACAAGACACCCTGGGGTGACCAGGTGTCCTGCACGAGACAATCACAGCACCCGACTAATGCTCAAGCAGGGACAGTGAGCACCTCCAAGAAGAGCCAGACCTGTGGGTGAGGGGGTGGGGGGAGACACAGGAAGGACTGCTTTCCCTCCACAGCCCCTGCCAGCAGGCGGCTCCCGCTGGCCGTCAGCAGGCGAGGAGGGTGGAGGCATAGCTGTGCCAGGGGAAGGGACAGGCACCCACCAGCGGCCACAGCAATGAGAGACTGAGCAGCTGTCAGAGGGCCCCACGTGGGACGTGAGGGAAACAGTCCCACAGCTCTCAAGCAGACCCCAACTCAGCGTGGAGACAACTGTCTACACCGGCCTGCATGCAGGAGTGGAGGAAATACACTTTTTAACCAAAAAAATCCAGTAGGGAACAGAGGATTGAATCCTCTGTGGAAACCAGCAACATGAAGACAGACTTAGGTACAGAAAACAGAACAAAAACTGCAGAGCTAATTATGAAAAAGGATTTTCTAAGATGTTTCCTATTTATATCTTCAGTGAGACCTGAAAAGATGCTGCATCTACAGAACCAGGATAAAGTATGAAAATAGAATTAGACAAAAAAGAACCCAGAATTAAAACTCAGAGGCTAAAATAAACTTTCAGCAGAAAGACCAGAAGATAACATCGGAGAAACAAAGGTAGAGACGAGGGCAGCCCAGGCGTGAACCTGCACTGCAAACGCTATGGCGGGTACGAAGCCGTTCCAGAGCTTAAGAAAAGACGTGCCTCAGACGGAAGGACCCACTGGGGGCTGACAGAATGAAGTTTCCTAATGCTGATGTTTAAAAAGTCCTAAAAGCCCCAAAGAGGAGAAAATAAAGTTTACCCAAACTGGACAGACGAGTCTCTGGAACGGGACCCCGCGTGTAAGAGGACAAGAGCAAAGCTCCCCTTCTGGGGACGATCGTTTTAAAGTTAGACTCTCTGCACGTACCCAGACCACGGAACACGCAGAAGGTCACAACATCCACAGGCTGGGACACTCAGAACCCTGTATTTACCACGTATCGTTGTGAGAAAGGTCTGAGGACGAACACTGCACCAGGAGGCTCCCAGGTGGAAGGGACAAGTATAAACCTCCAGGCACGAGATGAGCGCGCCCTGGGGCTGTGGCGTCCAGCAAGCTAACAACACTGGTGTGCTCCAAAGCTGCTGAGATCTGACAAGTTCCCATCGTAGGAAACACTGTAACTAAGCACTGTGGCAATCAGATAGCCAGTGGCTCACACCTGAACTACAATGTTGCACGTCAGTTCCAGCCAGTACCCTGGGGAAACCGGAGATTCAGGAGCCTGAACCAAGAGGGGCAGAGAGGAGGCTCGTCTGCGGGCAGCTTCCAAGGACCTTCCGGAAGAAAGCGACTGCGAGACAACACAGTATCTGGGGGTCTAGTAACTCTGAGGTTACAATGAAAGTGCACCATTTTTGACAAGAGAAAAGGAACGGCAGCAAAAGACTCCAGGAAAACAAAAAGCTATACAAGAAATTCTTGATCCAAAGGGATGTCAGTGCCGCGGCAGAGTGAGGACTCCAGAAAATCAGCAAGACCACTGCAACACAGTCAGTTATCGGTCGTTTCTGAACTCTGGTAACTCACCAAAGGTCAGCAGAAACCCAGGCAGCATCTAGGCAGGAAACTTTGGCCAGAACGGCCAGCTCTGTGACATCCAGTCGGCCTAGACCGTCCTTGCCCTCCAGCCCCTGTGTTTCAGGTGCAGCCTGGTGGCCACCAGGGAGACTCCTTCAAAGCTTCATCCCACACAGCCCGGGGACCCCACTTGCATGTCGTCTGTTTCTGACCAGACCCTGAAAGGCCTTTTCCCCCGCAGGGCCTGGTAACATGGCATCTGTGCCAAAGGTAGGGACGTGAAGACAGATTCACAGCTGATGGCAGACGCATGAAAACACTTGCCAGAACATCCCAGAACGTGTCCATGATGCCCAAGGTCGGGTGGGGCTAGTCCAGACAGAAGGATAGAGAGCAGTTTTGTTGTAAACTTTTTATACCCTGAACAGGTTATCTTACATATTAAAATTTTTTCTACACAGAAAAGTGTAGCCTGGCAACCTTTTCCATCCTGAACTTTCCTGTCACAGAGTCTTCTGCGGTTTCTAAATGCATCCAAGAAAGGGAACCATCACGTGACGAGGAAACCACCCCAAGTTCCAGCAGCTGCATCGAGCTCAGGGCCGAGCATCACCATGCTGCAGGACACGCCCAGAGGCCCGGGTGCTATTCAGGGAGGTTCCTGTGGGTTCCCATGGGCACAGAGGTTCTACAGGGCCTCACCGGTCAGCAGGACCCCCCGCATCTCCAGAGGAAGGAGGACACTGAGGAGGAGATGGATCCGCTGCCATTCATGTCACCCAGTGTGACATGGTGTGGCTAGGCCTCAGCAGTCTGCACCTCTGGGAGTTTTCTCATCTGCAAATGAGACATCAGACTAAAGTCCTCAGTTTTCCAGCACTAAAACCCTAGGATCTGAGAAATGCCAGGTTTGTAACCAGCCCGGCTGACGTCACGATCGCCATGGCTACACTGAGGAAAGCAAGCCAAGGGCGAAGCAAAGAACTGTCTGCGCCTCTAAGGCTTCGTCTTGAGAAGTTTCCTTTAGATTCACCAGCAAAATGGTGACAGAAAGGCCCCTGTAAACAAGAACACCTGCCCGCAGACGCCTGCACTCGCCTTCACTGTCCCACTGCACCTGAGGCAGGTCCACCTCTGCAGAAGCCAGAAGGGATGAGAGAGGCAAGGCTCTGATGCCTGTGGCTCGGGATGCAGCTGGAGGAGGCCAGGACCCCACACTCGGTGCCCCCATGTCTACCCCGCACAAAGCTACCTGCACCCACCCCCGAGCTGCTGCAGGCACGGCCGCCTTCGAGACGGCACCTGGTAGGTGCCAGGGACAAAGACCAAAATAAACAGCGCTGACAGGTCGCTGTGACAGGCTCCTCAGGGGACAGCTGCAAGGGAGCCAGTCCAGGGACGATGGCAGCTCAGAGAAGCCCTGAGATCAGCAAAAGCCAAGAGCTGCAATAAACGCACCAGAGTCCTCAGTGAGGCACGACTAACGGGTCACAAAGAAGTGGAGACATAAATTTTTAAAAGATTATAGTGTAACGAGAATGCCATGGAAAAACACCACCGACAGAGAAAAGAAAATCCAACTGCAAAGAGGAAGCAAGACAATATCAATCAGGTCAGTGGGTGTCACAAAAACGCCAACACTGCACAAATCCCAGTGTCACACACGCAGGCTGCTCCACACATCTCGGGGGCAGGAGTACCGGCTGCCTGGACACAAAGCCCGCCACAGCAGCCTCCATGCTGTGGGGACAAGGGGCCCGAGCAGCCCTGGCCGAGCAAACCTCCGCCCTCGTGCCCACAAGGCACCTGCGACATCACTGCCTGAGCTCCAGGGAGACGGCTCCAGAGCAGTATCTGGCCGAACACAGCCAGGGCCTGACACGGGAGAGAACAGGACCCAGGCCCCCTGGAGGGAAGTGGCCACATCACCCAGGTCACAGTGCACTTGAGAAAAGTGTGTGGCAGTCTGTCCCTGAGTGCCACGGAACTGAAGGCAGGACCCTCAGGACATACTGCTGGTGGCAGAGCAGGACCCTGACACTGACAGCTAATCAGGAGCGTGTGCGCGGGACACTGTATTCAAGGGGACACTTCCCATGGCCATGGCGGGTACAGAGCTGTCAGGCTGCAGAGAGAGCTCCCAAGTCCATGAGAGTCAGGGCACAGGCCCCAGACCAGGAGCTAGACTGTTTAGCCAAGTGATGAAGTGGTAACCAACACTTTCCATAATTTATTCACCTAACACACAAAGCAACCGGACCAAAAAAACAGTGGAAATCAACACTTGTCCACAGTAACCCAAAAAGATGCTGGGCAAACCAGCCCTGACCTACCAGGGCAGGGGGAGGAGGTCACAGGAGACAGAGTCACAGGGATGAGCCTGGGGATGGGGTGGGAAGTGGGATGAAGGGAGGAAAGTGTGTGGGGCTGCTCCAGCCAGTGCTGGCCCTACGTCCACACCCAGCCATGAGGCTCTGGGCTCCAATCTTTGGTGCTACAGAAATAGTAGGTTCACCGGACACTGTTGGGACCCTAGGGCCCGCAGCCTCACTGAAACACCTGTGCACCGAGGACTGCCTAGATGGAGCCCAGGGCCACCAAGGGACCTGCAGTCAGGGCACCAAGATGGGGTCGGAGGGCAGTGACCCCCTGGCCAGATTTGCACAGGTGCTCTGGGCCTTGTGTCCAATGGAAGCCAGGCCCTGGCTGCAGAGGGAGGAGGGGGCCGGGGACACTGTGCACCTTGGAAGGAGACCCTCCCCAGGGAAACCAGGGCTTGACCACTTGGCCAGCATCCCCCCAACCTCACTCGGGGCGCACTGTACAGGACAGTGAGCCGTACAAAACTCGTCCACATCAGCCTGGACAACTGGGCCTCCAGGTCTGTCTCTGGAACACGAAGGGTATGGTTTACTGTGCAGGCTGCAGGCTCACGAGGGGTGAGATGAGGATAGTTGTTTCCCACACTCCACGAGGGGCTTTTTCTACTCACAACGACCTGCAATCCATCACTCTGAGCTGGAGCCCAAGCACTCGGCCGTCTCCTACTAGCAGATTACTTCTCAGTCAAGCTCAGTGAACTAGAGACCTCAGTTCAGGCTGCTGTGAGTCCCCACCAGACATGGCCCCTGCTCGGGCGAGCTCTGCCAAGCAGCACTGGGCCCGCCTGTCACTCTAGACCTCGGGGTGCTCTGCTCCTGGGACCCTGCCCTCCCACCTGTGAAGCAGCCTTGCCCACCTTGTGTCTCCTGTGGAAACTAAGTGATGTGAGACTACTGCAACTTACAAACAAAGCTCAGGTGCTTCCACCAGCCAGGAAGGCTAGCGGGGCAGAGGTGGGTCTCACACTTGACCTGACCTGGTTGAGCAGGGGG